AATATATGTATGACTGCTCTGATGCCAATATAAACCACATTTTTCAAACTGGTAGGAATACTAAGCAGTAACAGATTCAATTTTCCCGGAGAAAAAATAAACTGCAAATTGTTGCCGGTAAAATAAGTAGAGAGGTATGTGAAACTTCAGAATACTTGAAAAGAAAACACAAGTGTGTTTTGGGATAGACATTAAGAATCGCACAGGGAAGATCCCACGTAGGCATCTACACCACACGGTGAGATAGCGAGCCTTCATCCATCAAGGTTTGAAGGCACATGTTATTTCATCTTGTGCTATCACAATTTCCAAACATGTTCATTTAAAGAAAAGTGGGCATAATTTGTAAATCAATCAAAGTATAATAAACATAGCGTTTTTAACATACAAGAAAAATGGTACTTGCATTCATGACAAATTAAATCTGTAATGCCTAGGAAAAAATGAGCTGTCTGTTCTTAAAAAAAGAAGTCTCAGAGGGTCACACACTAGCAGTGCAAAGTTTAAATAATTTAAAATTTATTCATTTGAGATGAATAATCTACCATTTCTATATGGAGTCGAAGAAAAGCACTTAAAAAAGTATTCACCCAATTAATTTAACATGCAGCAAAGAATAATTCAAGGTCTGCAATATGACTCAAATTTACTGAATGTGTCCTTTGGGCATTAAAAAGCATAATGAAAAATGACACACACACAACACTGTATTTTCTAGCAAGGCCATAGATCAGAATATATTTATCCTTTCTATCCCAGATTAAAAGAAAAATGGGAGTAATTCCTATGGAAACAAACCAAACTGTATTTCTCTGGGCAAAGAAATCTACTATTATTTAATATTAGGAAACACACCTTGTACTTGAAAAAGAAAGAGGTGAAAGTTACAACCATTGGATTGAAATAAAACAATGAGGCATTATTAGCACAGATGCTAGAATTCTTTTGTCCAGTGAATAGTATTACTAGATAATTATTTGCTTTTATGTTGCATATAAATATCAGTATCATTCTGTGAGAAATATTCTAATTTTCCATTTCATAGATAGAGCATCTACTCCTCAAAGGATGCTGGGCCTTCTAAAAAGGGAGAGGTTTTATCCTCTACACAATTTCCTAGACAAGAAAAAGAAAAAACGCCTAAATGTACAGTTAAACAATAACACAGATATTGACTTTACAATGTTTGACTTCTGTGCCTTTATTTCAATAGCGAGACCACACAAAAATATCTAGTTCATGAAAAGCAAACAAAAATAGTTGGCAGTAAAAATTGTCTCTTAATAGGGTTTATAAAAAATTATTTGTATGATTCCTAGAGCACAAAATAGTCTTCCGTGTATTATGTGTCTACCATTTGTTCTAACTCAAAGAAAGACAACATGAGGAAAAGACTTTAAGAACACTGATGCAGTGGCCAGCGCTTAGCACCTCTGTGTTTTCTGATCATCCGTTAAAACCCAAGCCGCATCCGGACAGACTTAGCCAAGGCCCCTACTTGAATGGAGCCAACACTACTTACGTAGCCACCATAGAAATGGAAAAACACACACACACACACACACACACACACACTCTCACACACACACACACACTCACACACACATGCACACAAACACAAAAATTAAGCCAATGGCTCTGTTTTCAACCATGAAATAGATGTCAAGTTGATGTCACGCTGCAAAGGCCAGAAGTAACTTTGGAGGCCTCTTATTTCAACATGGGAGAGGAGGCCAGCGATGTGTTAAGGTGAAGAATCAAGAGAGAAACTCAAACTCATCACTTGACAGTTTCAGCTGGATGCCAACCCTCTCAAATCAAAACCAACAGTTCAAATCCCAGGCGGACAAATGTCACTATGGCGGGCACAAGAAGAGAAGTAAATGTATAAGGTCAGTCCAAGGCACCGAACCAGATACAATGCAATCATATTTCAAAGCTTGGCCTCGGTTACCCTCAGATCCATTGGTGAGGGAAGACAAAGGGAATACAGGAAGGAACCATGAGCCGGCCTTTTAGTGAGCTCTGGACGAATGGCTCCATTATTTAGTGACTTTTCATCTACATATCCCCTCCATACTCAAGACATAGGAGAAACTAAAATTGCACTAATCATTTTCATCATGCTAGTAATAAGTTTAGAATTGCAACTATTATTGTCTTAGACTCCCAATCCCTTTAGGAAAAAAATTCCACCAAATATGATTATAAGGAATGAATATTGTGAATATTGCTGGCTAAAAAAAAAAAAAAAAAAAAAAAAAACGGAGCCCAGAGTGCCTAACACATGGTGGACACTCAATACACATTTGTGTAAGGAAGAGAGAGAAGGATGGAGGAAGAAGATAGAAAGGAAAGAATGAATAAGCAGGAGGAAAGGAATAAAACAAGCATTATTGCTATAGAGTCAATAGCTGCTAACAAGAAACACTGAATTTTGGTAGTAACTTTTCTATGAAAAAAAAAAAAAAAAAAAAAAGCTTTTGTACTCAATTTAAATAACGTACTTTAGCCTTACTTTTTACAAAGAAGATGTTTGAAAATCAAAGTGAACTGCAAAAATTGGGAGCAATTCTTTAAAGCAAATATATTGAAACACTGCTGTTTCTCTCAGGAAATATTTCACAAAGGGAGCTTCTGGAACACTAAACATTCTAACCTGTGCACGCAGGCACACATCTGGGCTTGGCAGAGGGATTAGAAGCCGCCCCTGAGCTTATCTGAGCGGCTACAGCAACACAGTCTTCCTTCATCAGTAAGTACCTCAGCGCTGCATTTCCCAGCCTCACTCGCAGAGTAGCCTGCACAGGTTGCATCTGATTTCTGAGGGCTACATTTAAGGGCTTAGTTTTACTGACAGCTATTCTTTTAAGTCTTTCATTTGTAGCCATTCACTAAGCAAATAACATCTGATTTCACCATCAGAGAGCAAGTTGGAGGTGCAGTGAGAAAAGACACAGGAGAACAATAGAAATGATTTTTTTTCCTAATTAGCTAATGCAAATGAACTAGCTCCATTTTTTTTCTCTCTTGAAATGTCTTCTTTGACAACAGCCTCTCTCCCCATCTTTTTTCCTGGGAGAAAATCTCAGAAGGTATTTCCAGAGAGGGTTACTAAGGACTTCTGAGGCTTCATGCACAGGGCTGGTGTGGGCGCAGACGTGTGTATAAGACCTAGAAGGCAGGAGAGGAGCTCCTGAGTACGAAGACTGAGTTTTGCTTTTTCCTATTTCATTCTAATGTGACTACAAGCGGCTCATGGACAGTCTGGCAGCATCGCTGGATGACCACTAAGCTGCTTCTCTGTTTCTAGGACCCGAACCCCATGGGCTCACCTGTAAAATGGGAACACTATCTCTGCCATGCCCTGGCTATTATAAGGCCCCAAAATCATGACATTGAACTCAATGGCCAGCACAAGTAGGCATTCCAACAGGCAATAGCTATTATTAATTATCAGTTAGATCATGTTCTTAACTATGTAGTTGTTATGAATGACCTCAATAATTCTAAATGTGAAAGAGGCATATGTTTTTAAACCCACCAGGTATGTGTTTAGGACAGTCCAGGTGGAAGGCAAGGTGTTAGCAGGTATAGGGGACACCTAAGTGAAATGACAGGTAGGCTCTGCCCAAATCCATCAGTCTTATTGACTACGGAGTTGTGATTACATCTCCTGGTTCTCCAAAGAGGTCGTTGTGAGATTCCAAACAACTCCCTCTATCTACCTGGGCCCAGGTCTGCGGAGAGAAGAGGATGCCTTAGAGTGGGAGGCGGGGAAGGAGAGCAGCAGAATCTGCTACCAGGCTGTGGTTTTGAAGCATCAGCCGGTACCTCTCCTTGAGTCCTACACTACATGAGACAGTTCCGATTTCTGGCCGAATTTCGGGGAGATTTCTTTTTAATATCACAAAGTGATCACCCTTAGATGGTAAGCGTTCATTTATAATTATGGAGAGGTTGACCACAGCTACAGGTATGTTATGAAATTAATTCATTTGACCTCTTTCATGCCAAACCATCAAATGTGAGGTGATAAAGTGATAAAACACATATAGGTATTCAGAAGGGAGTATCTTGAGGGTTTGACTGGCAGGTCTGCTGACTGCTTCAGGGGAACGCGTTCCTTCAGGTTCCACATTTGCTCACACGTGGCTTATCCTGGAAGTGCCTGGCACGTCACAGGCACTCAGCAACTGGAAGCCAACATTATAAGCAACTATACTGTGGTCTAGGTTGGCTTATTTTCAAATGGGCTAAAATTTTGTGAAACTAAAATCTCCTCCTTTCCAGTTAATAAAGACTTATTGAGTGTGGCAGCATGGCCACACATCCCAATTCCAAATGTAACGAACCAAGACCTCCGAAGGGTCCCAGCATCATGGATACCAAATGCATTTGCCACATGGCACTCTGAGAAGCCTGCCTGGGGCCGGATTATTTTGCCAAAGAAGGACATAGGACAGACAATGAATGATGTATGTGCAACATGACTGCTGCTGAAAGTGACTGGAAATCAATATCTAATAAGTTTGGGTACAGGATTCTCCTGTGACAGAAGTATGTTAACATTCGATAGCACAAATCAAAGTTGTTATTGGTAGTGAGGAAATGTTAACACACATTATCAACACCTACTTAAAAAGGGCTAGTGCAGTAAGAGACAGTTTTAGAGAAACGTTAGGATATATTTTAGGGGACAGAAAAAAGTTATATGCTAAACTGTTTATTTCTTACGTTATAATATCTCTTTTGGAAGTTTTTAAGACCGGTTTTAATACCTAATTTTTCACAATAAGGATAGTGATCAC